TATTTGAACTATTTAAAACAAAAGTCATACGAAATTTCTAAAAATATAATGTTGAATTAATATCACTAATATTATTAACATAGATTTAATTTCAAAAACCCAGTAAAAAAATTCGATACACGGACCGCGGAGCTCGTATGAGAAATATGAGAAATCTCTCATACGAGCCTTTTCCGTAATGAGAAATGTATAGCTGCTTGTATACGAGGTGACTTTTAAAGCATTTTTATTAATGTAGCACTATTTTAAAGTAAATGTAGATAATAGAAATGAATTTTCTCATCTAAAACAAAGCTAAATTCATAAGGGAAATGAAGTTTTAAGAAAAAAAGGATAATTTTGTTCAAAAAATTTATTCACACTGAAAATAGGTTAGAATTTGATAATTCCTTGTTACTCTTACTTACCGACATGAAATTGTCTTGTGCACAAGTATTTTAAAAAAATTTATTTTTAGGTGAACTTTTTTTAAAATAATTAAATTTTTAAAGAACTTTCTCAAAAAACATTAAATATAATTGAATTAGAGAAAAATTTTAGTTAAAATTTCTAGAAAATAATTAAATTGAAATCTTGAAAATAATTTTTTAGTGAAGTAGAATTATTTGAACATTTTCATTGGAACCAAGGAGTTCGGGGAAATGGTGGCCTGATCGCTCGTCTTATAAACATTTTGGGCTTATCAACTTTTGGTAGACAAAACATAGCCTACGATGAACAAAGACGAGCTGGTGGACGAGGCTACGATGAGCTGTTCTGGGGACAGTCCTTATTCGGCTACGAATAAGAGCAGACTAATGAATATTAATCGAATGCCAATTATTCTAAAAAAATTTCAAAAGATATTAATTACAACTACTTATTGTCATTTTCACATAAAATTAAATAAAATAACATTTATAGGAATATCTCTTTTATTAAAAATAATATTCCTACAGTTCAGAAGTGGGATACTTAACACGTGTCGATACGGCGCGTTGCCCCTAATATATTATAGACAAATTAACTAGGTGTAAATTTTTCTTTTTGTGTATTGAAAGAAAAATATTAGTGAGACATTTCTTTTAAAAAAATAAATAAATAATTAAAAGAAAAGATCGTTGAAAATGCCGCGAAGTGATAAACACGTGAGTGCAAAACATTCGAAGAAACAAAGGTTCGAAGATAGTGTGAGAGATGATTCCTCTTCACGACCATCTTCAAGAAAAAAGGAAAGAGACAACAGAAGGCGAAGGTCTAGAAGTTCTTCAGGGCGAAGACATCGCAGAAGTCATTCAAGGGAATCTCGAAACGACTATGACTACAGAAGGATGAGTATCTATCAAGAAAGCAGAAGTCGCACTAGAAGCAGGTCGACGACGAGAAACTACTCTAGATCACAAAAGGGTGAGTCCGATTTTGCAAAACTAGCTGAAGTGCTAACCACAATTGTTAAGACAGGCAGTAAAGCATTAAATAAATATTTAAATGAAAAATTGTTGCCAGAATTTGATCCTGAAAAAAAAGATTTATCAGCCGCGGAATGGTTAGAGGAAATTAACATGTTTGCTGTGATGTATGATTGGGATGAATCTCATAAAATTTATTTAGTCTCATTGAAACTAAAGGGGATTGCAAAAAGTTGGTATGATGGTCTTAAGATTGCACCAATTAGTTGGGATGCTTTTACAGTAGCTATTCTTAGGCAATTTTCAGGGGATGAAAATTTTGGAAAATTATTTGAAAACGCATGTCAATATAAAAGTAAGTCAGGCCAGTCTTATTTGTCATATTGCTTTGAAAAAATCAAAAGAATCAACCGTCTAAATCTAGAAATACCTGAACAAAAAATAGTTGAATTCGTTATTTACGGGATTCAAGACGAACAATTGCGAACAAGTTTAATGACTTCAAAAATAAATTCAATAGCCGAATTAAGTCAATGTTTAGGATCTTTGTCAGTTGAGGACACTAAAGATTTAAAGAAAAATAAGGATACGTCAGACAATAAAAGATTTGTTAAACACGAAAAGGGTAAACGTCCATTTAAATCTTTTGGAATAATTACGGAGAAAAAGGTCATAGAAAAAATCGATGTCCTAAATTGCAAAATAGTGAATCAAACAAATCCGAAAACGATACGCGTAAAGAGAACAAATCCGAAAACGAAAAACCTTCCGAAAGATCGACTAAGGAAATACCCAAATGTAATTTTTGTAATAAAATAGGGCACTTAGAAAAGGAATGCTACAAGAAAAAGAATAAAAATAAAAAAGAGGGAACTGCATGACTAGGGAACGACGGGGGGTCCCTTCAAGAAGAGATGTCAAACCAAGAAGTATTCGTTGTTGGGACGGGTAATGTAAACAAACCGATAAAAACTTGCCTTTTAAATTTGAAAGAAAGAATATGCACCGTAGATTTGGGAAGTGATTGTTCAATAATCCGAGAAAGTTTAGCTCGAGAATTAAATATAAAATTTAAAAATACAAGTAAAATATATACCGGATTTAATCACGCGATAGTCACACCCATTGCTAAATCAAAAATTAAAATTTGCATTGATAATATTCCTTTTACAATTAAAGTATTTATTGTCCAAAACAATCAATTAGCAAAAGAAGTAATAATTGGTAGAAATGTTTTGCTTAAATCCGGAACAAAAGCAATATCAGATATGACTGGTATAACATTTACTTTGGACGACTCAGTAAAATTAAATAATACATTGCAAGTAGAAATGGTCGATATGAGTCATGCGAAACCTGTAGAAGAAGCAGATATCAAAACTGAAAATCTCGATTTTGAAATTAAAGAACAATTAATAGAATTGTTAAACAAATATCGTAAAACCGTGTCATTTAATATCGAAGAACTAGGCAAATGTACTGCTACCGAAATGAAAATTGATGTAATGACAGAGACACTGGTTTATCATGCTCCATATCGACTATCTCTCTCCGATCGTAAAGTTGTAAAAGAAATTTTAGAAGAATTAGAAGCGAGTAAAATTATCCGTGAAAGCAATGCACCTTACGCGAGTCCTATAATTCTTATTTAAAAAAAAGAATGGAGAATGGCGAATAGTTATAGATTACAGAGCGGTAATAAAATAACTAAACGCATTCAATATCCTTTACCTTTGATAGATGATCAAAAAGATCAACTTAAAAATAAAAGGATATTCACATCATTAGATATAAAATCTGGTTTCCATCAAATTCCTATGCACCCAGACTCAATAGAAAAAACTGCTTTCATAACACCCGACGGACAATATGAATTTTTACGAATGCCATTCGGTTTAGTTAATGCTCCCGCCGTATTTCAAAAAGCAATGAATAAAATGGGACGCATGATTATTCCCCAAATGTCATTTTTCCGAAATGTCATTTTACCGAACTGCACTTTTGCGAATAGTAATTTTTGCGAAAAGCCATTTTTGCGAATAGTAATTTTTGCGAATTGTCATTTTTGCGAATCGCCATTTTTACGAATTGTCACTTTTGCGAATTGATATTTTTACGAATCGCCATTTTTACGAATTGTCACTTTTGCGAATCGACATTTTTACGAAATGTCATTTTTGCGAATAGCCATTTTTGCGAAAAGTAATTTTTACGAATTGTCGTTTTTGCGAATTGTCATTTTTGCGAAAAGCTATTTTTGCGAATTGTCATTTTTGCTAAATTTCATTTTTGAGAAATGTCATTTATGCGAATTGTCACTTTTGCGAATCGCCATTTTTACGAATTGTCACTTTTCCGAAAAGTCATTTTTGCGAATTGACATTTTTGCGAAAAATACACAATAGTGAATCTATATATACCTACAAGTTTACTATTGTATTTTTCGCAAAAATGACAATTCGCAAAAATGACTTTTCGGAAAAGTGACAATTCGTAAAAATGGCGATTCGCAAAAGTGACAATTCGCATAAATGACATTTCTCAAAAATGAAATTTCGCAAAAATGACAATTTGCAAAAATAGCTTTTCGCAAAAATGACAATTCACAAAAACGACAATTCGTAAAAATTACTTTTCGCAAAAATGGCTATTCGCAAAAATGACATTTCGTAAAAATGTCGATTCGCAAAAGTGACAATTCGTAAAAATGGCGATTCGTAAAAATGTCAATTCGCAAAAGTGACAATTCGTAAAAATGGCGATTCGCAAAAATGACAATTCGCAAAAATTACTATTCGCAAAAATGGCTTTTCGCAAAAATTACTATTCGTAAAAATGACATTTCGCAAAAATGGCTTTTCGCAAAAATGACTATTCGCAAAAGTGCAGTTCGGTAAAATGACATTTGGGGAATAATCATGCGTCCCGAATAAAATTTTAAAAAATACCGCGCTGATTTATGTTGATGACATTTTAATTGCCTCTGAAACAATAGAAGAAGCATTTATTGCATTAGAAAATGTTTTAAAGGCCTTAAAGGCAAACGGATTAGCCCTTAATTTATCGAAATGTAGATTTTTTCAGAAAAAATCGAGTACTTAGGCAGCGAAATTTCAAGTGAGGGCGTAAGACTGGGAACAAATAAAGTAACCGCTGTAATGAACGTCATCGATCCAATAAATGTAAAACAAGTTAGACAATTTTTGGGTCTTGTCGGCTATTTTCGTATATTTATAAAGAATTTTGCACGAATAGTTTTACCTTTAACTATTTTATTACGTAAAAATGCACCCTTCGTATGGGGCACGGTGTAAGAAAGAAAGGTGAATTGACTTCCTACCCCCACCACCAAAATTGTGTTTGCTTAATGATTTGTTTCTCGGAGTATGAATCAGATGTCGCTAGTTCATGTTACGATTCCTAACCTAAAAATTATTTTTGACATGTTGTTGGTAAACACATCGTTTTGATGTAAAATTGAGTAATAAAATTAAAAAATGGTAAGACGCTGTTGCGTAAAATCTTGTGAGAGTCGCGACTTAAAGAAGGACGATAAAATAACACTTTTTAAAGCACCTATTGATTGTAAGGAGAGAGAAAAGTGGGAAAACATTTTAATTACAAACATAAGTGCAGCCGCTTACGTTTGTGAAAAACATTTTCACGAAAATGATATTAAAAAAGGTGAAGTTGTGCGCGATGCTGATGAATTTATTATTGGAATCCGAAATCATGTGAAACTGACCCACCCCTGTACCCACTTGCGTCCGACATCTTGGTTTTTTATCTCTTTTTTTTACATATGTTAGAGAGAGACGAAATGAAAAGACAACTACCGCAAGTGGGTCGACACCAGAGGGCCTACGCAGCTCTGCGGTTCCCAATGTATTGTGTAAGTTTTTCTTATTTATAACATATATAATAAGACTTGATAACACTTTGTCTTTGCTATAAATGCATTTCAAATATGACGAGCAAGTTTTTAAAAGTTGATAAATTCATTTATTTAAAAATTCGAGATATTAATAAATTTAATATTTTTAAGACCTTACTAAGGTAAACATTACTAAACTAAACATTACTAAGGTGATTTATAATTTTTATGTTTTTTTTTTTTTTTTTTTGCTTAGGGACTTTTGGGAAATCTGCGTACAGATACCTTGGATTCCGCACTCCAAGGTTATGTGGGGTTGGTATGATAAAACAAGAGGAAATACAAAATATAGATTTATCAAATTTTGTAAACATATTCTCCTGATATATAGCATAACATTTTTATTTTAGAGAATCAATATATTATTCACTACTTTTCAATAGTTTTATTTCTTTATTTGCTTAAAAATCATTTTATTTTCTGTATATGGGCAATTCCACGGCAAATTTTTCTACGACATTTTAGAATCGGTTAAACATATTTTTTTATCGTTCTTGATAGAAAAATATTAAATACGTATTTTTTTATTTTTCCATATTTGCCAAAATTTTCGAGTTATGAATTTTCGAAATTTTGGATTTTTAAAAGTAGACCTATTTTCAATAGCTTATAACTTTGAAAGTATTGAGTTTGGAAAAAAGTTGTCAAAGAAAGAAAGTTTTAGTTTTTCTTCAACTTTTAAAAGATTTTAAAAAAAAATTTTTTTTTAATTTTTAATGAAAAAAAAATTTTTTTTTATAAACAAATTAATTTTTTTTAAATTTAGGCGCGATTTTTTTTTATTTTTTTTTATTTATTTATACCTACTAATATACAGAAAAATTTCCAAAAAGATTCAAGATGGGCCGACTCATAGTTTTCGTTCTATAAATTTTTTAATTAATTTGTTTATAAAAAAAAAAAAATTTTTTCTTAAAAATTAATAAAAAAATTTTTTTTTAAAGTACATAAAAGTTAAAGAAAAACCAAGATTTTCTTTCTCTGACAAGTTTTTTTAAACTCAAAACTTTCAAAGTTACAAGCTATTAGACTTATAATTCACAGTTTTCATTCTACACTGAAAAAAATTCTTAGTAGATTTGACTACTTTTTAACTACTTTCCTTAGTTCAATAAGTCCCCAAAGATAATTTTGAACTTACATTAATTATCAGATATGTAGTTGAATGAAGTGATAATACAGTTGCATTAACTACTTTTCTTAGTTAAATAGGAACCAATGACAGTTTTGCAGTAGAATTAACTGCTGATATGTAGTTAAAGTTACTAAGATAACTCAGTAATAAAGACAACTACTGAAAATGGTAAAATAAAATTATTTATAATTTATTATAAATATTATCGAGTTGTATTTTTTTATATTTCCCCCTACCCACTTTTGTTTACCTATACCTTATTTATTTAATGTCTATATACCTAACGGAGAAAAATCTCTAAACGTCGGGAGTTGAACGCTCGACCCTAACATTCGTAAACCGATAACCTAACCACCTAACCACGCTCGCCCGCTACGATGAGTTGCTTAATACTTAAAGGCATTCCTGACACAGTTCAACTGATAACTGTAGTTAATTTTACTACTTAAAGTAGTTACATTTACAACTTTTCACAGTTGCTAATCTTCTATAAAAACCTATAACATAAATTACATGGAAAATTATTTAACTCCTAGAAGAAGTAAAAACTACTACAAAATTAGTCTATCGAACTACTTTAAGTAGTAGAATCTACTACTTTCTGTAGTCATTTCTGTAACATACCTGCAGTTACAAAGTTAACTGTAAAATTACATTAATTTAATTAATAATTTTTAACTACATAAAACAGTTAAAATAAGTATCAAAAGTAGTCAGACTAACTAAAAAAGTAGTTCGTTTTATTACTTTTTACTCTACTAAGGGGATGTAGTTGAAAATGTCTCATGTATTTTTTTCAGTGTATAAAAAATTTATGGAACGAAAACTACGAGTCGGCCCATCTCGAATCTTTTTGGAAATTTTTCTGTATATTAGTAGGTATAAATAAATAAAAAAAAATCGCGCCCAAATTTAAAAAAAAATTTTTTTTATTAAAAATTTAAAAAAAAAATTTATTTTTAAATCTTTTAAAAGTTGAAGAAAAACCAAAACTTTCTTCCTTTGACAACTTTTTTCCAAACTCAATACTTTCAAAGTTATAAGCTATTGAAAATAGGTCTACTTTTAAAAATCCAAAATTTCGAAAATTCATAACTCGAAAATTTTGGCAAATATGGAAAAATAAAAAAATACGTATTTAATATTTTTCTATCAAGAACGAGAAAAAAATATGTTTAACCGATTCTAAAATGTCGTAGAAAAATTTCCCGTGGAATTGCCCATATATATTTGTAAAAATTTTTTATAATTTGCTTCAGTGTCAGTTTTCGTCAAAACGACTGGTCAAGGGAGCTTTTCCTTGCAGTCATGATAATTCCGATTGTGAAGAGGAGTTTCTATGTAGTAAAAGGTTTAAAAGTGATGTGGATGAATGTTTCCCAGAAAATCTTTTAGAAGAAAATATGGATATAGACGATTTACCCTGTAATAAAAGTGAAATACAGGGAGAATTAATTAATAGTAGCCTAAAGCCCGAAGATCCTAATGTCAACAATACAGTTCCTATAATCAGTTTATATGAGGATTTAGTACAAAAGTTAGGAAATTTAAAGCTGCCAAGGGATGAATGGGGAATAACGCACTGCAAGCAAACCAAATTACTTGTTTTTCCTTTTCTAAAAGTAATTCCATCTTCTACTAGCAGAAGTGTTACACCAACTTTCACTAAACAGGTATTTAAATATAGGAATATTTTTGTCTAAATTGAAATATTTTTTTAAAACGAAATAATCATTTTTTACTCAAGTAACAAATTTATGTTTTAGGTAACGGTTAATGGTGAATCTGAGGTGCAATTGATATTCTTAGGACAAAGTCTTGAATTGGATTGCGTAAAAAACAAACCATCAAGTTTCAAGGAGTTTGAAAAATTACTTTTTGAAATAGATAAATTGGAAACTTGTGTAGGAGGTCCCGGCAGCCATCTGTATAAAAATATTCATCCTGAGTGTGCACAAAGAGATTGAGTAACGTGGAGGCATAACAAATGTCCAAAAGTTATGGACAACGTAACCGTACATGAAACTGAAGTTACCAACGTTGATTCAACGAAAAACTTAAAAAAAAAATTTCTCAGGATACAAATTTTTCTTGATTACTTTTAACCCAAGTAAACCCTCTAAACCCTAAAATAAAAAAAACATGGGAAAAATAGTGATTTTTAATTGTTTTGTCGAATTTTTTTTAAAATCACGCAATTCCAATTAAATTAATAATTCCTCGCATCGGTACTCATTTTTTTCTTTTGATAATTGTTTAATTTAACATTAGACGTTATTTTAAAAAATTTCAAGTAATTCCAAGTCGGGGAAAGCAGTGATTTTGAATTTTTTTGTGTCACGAATCTTCCCAAAATTTCGAAATTTCAAATTAATTAATGTTTCCTCGCCTCGGTAGTCATTTTTTTCTTTAGATAATTGTTTATTTTGACATTAGACGTTATTTTAAAAAAATTTCAAGTCATTCCAAGTCGGGGAAAGCAGTGATTTTTATTTTTTTTGTCGAATTTTTTCCAAAAATCACGAAATTTTATGTGAGTTAATAATTCCTCGCCTCGGTAGTCGTTTTTTTCTTTTGATAATTGTTTATTCTACTGTCGTGTGTCATTTAAAAAAAATTTTGAGTGGTTCCAAGTCGGGGAAAGCAGTGATTTTGATTTTTTTAAATGAAATTTCGTAATTTTTGGAAATAATTCGACAAAAAAAATAAAAATCACTGTTTTCCCCGACTTTGAATCACTTAAAAATTTTTTTAAATAGCGTCTAATATTAAAATAAACAATAATCAAAAGAAAAAAGTAACTACCGAAGCGAAAAATTATTAAATTACTTGAAATCCTCGAATTTTCCAAAAATCCGTGACAAAAAAAACCAAAATCACTGCTTTCCCCGACTTGGAATTACTTGAAATTTTTTAAAATAACGTCTTATGTTAAATTAAACAATTATCAAAAGAAAAAAATGACTACCGATGCGAGGAATTATTAGTTTAATTAAAATTGCGTGATTTTTGAAAAAAATTCGGCAAAAAATTAAAAATCACTACTTTCCCCACGTTTTTTTTATCTTAGGGCTTAAAGGGTTTACTTGGGTTAAAAGTAGACAAGAAAAATTTGTATCCTGAGAAAATTTTTTTTATAAGTTTTTCGTTGAATCAACGTTGGTAACTTCAGTTTCATAACCGTACACGGAAAAAAAAGTACGTGAATCCTTCCTTGAAAGTGCTTGACTTTTGGATAGAACACAAAATACAAGGCTGTATCATATACTTTTTATTAGAAAATATAGAAAAGTCCTAGAGTTATTCTAGTACTAGTATGGGCAACAGTGTTTTTTAAATTTTAACGAAAAGTCATTTGTTCAGTTTTATAAAGTACGTGAAAGATTAGTTGACTGCGCTTGAAAATTCTGTAGAGCATGCGCAGTGTGCGTTGCGCGTTTCTACCCAAGGTACTCACCAGGTCATGGCCGGATATACAGGCATAAAGCCAGTATAGTGCCAATCAAATTTAACTTAACTTAATCTACCCAAGGTAAATGCCAGCTGATCGTCTGTTTCCATTTGTGTTAATTTCAGATGTGAATATACTATTATTTTATGAAAAACAAATAGTGTTAATATATATTTGTCTTCAAGAATTGACTTTCAAAAAAATATTTTTTATTTCGTGTTTCTCACAAAACAGAATGTTATGTAAGTCTCAGTTTTCAGTGAAATAGCATATCTCAGAAGTCGTGAAAAATTTGACCATGTGGTATATAAGAACAATTCGATACGTACTTTTAAGTGTTAAGTGTGTGTTTATACACTGAAAAAAAAAAAGTATTGAACCAAGAAAATTTTTCTTGGTTGAAGCAAATCGTGGGATTGAATACGGCCAAGACTATTAAAGTATTGATTCAAGAAAACGATTTTCTTGACATAGGATATTTGGGAGAAGAACATATATTCTTGATCCAAGAAAATATGGAATTTGACCAAGAAGTTAGTCTTCTTATACGAAGTATGAAATGTATTAAATGAATAAAATATTTTCTTGTTCTAAGAATATATATAGTTAATTGAATTATTTTATTTGATTCATTCAATTTTTTGTAACGTTCGTTCAAGTAATTCAAGATTTAAATGAAGAAAACATTTATTTTGTGAGAAGAACAGATATTCTTGATCCAAGAAAATATGGAATTCGATCAAGAAGTTAATCGACTTGTACGAAATATAAAATGTATTAAATGAATAAAATATTTTCTTGTTCTAAGAATATATATAGATAATTGAATTATTTTATTTGATTCATTCAATTTTTTGTAACATTCGTTCAAGTAATTCAAGATTTAAATGAAGAAAACATTTATTTTGTGAGAGAACGCAGATATTATCTTGATCCAAGAAAATATGGAATTCGATCAAGAAATTAAGTAGCATGTAAGAAATGCAGAATATATTAATTCAAAATCATTTATGTATCAAATCAAGAAAGTATGTTCTCTGTCCAAGAAAATATTTTCTTGATTTGAGAAAATTTATAGATTTCAATCAAAAAAATACTTTCTCAATACAAGTAAATTATTTACTTAAATTACCCCCATCCCATCTTTTCTAATACTTAGGTCAAACATTTTTATTATTTAATTAATTAACATTTATATTTTTTATTTAAATAATTAAATAATTGTTATTTTACATATATATTTACATTTAATTATTACTTAACACAAATACAACAAATATACCTTGAAAGAAAATTTTCCACGGTCGGAGGAATTGAACCCGGGTTGCACGCACCAGAAGCCGTCACGCTACCACTATGCCATCCTAGCCTCAATGGACAGTTTTCAAAAACTGCACCCAGAGAAATGGTATATTTGTCTCAGAACCAACTAGACTTTTTATTTGTTTCAAATAAATTTTATTTGGTTTAAATAAAATTTTATTTGGCTCAAATATATGTTTTATTTATGTCGAATAAAATTTTTATTTAAAACAAATAAAAAGTCTAGTTGGTTCTGAGACAAATATACGTTTATTTAACTCAAATAAAATATATTTGGTTTAAATAATATTTTTCTCTGGGTGTGATATTTAAGTTGCATATACATTTGAAGAAAAATATTTTCTTGGATCAAGAACACCGGCATTGTGTTAAGTAAAAAAAAGTTTCAAAGCAAATAAATAAAATGATTCGATTCAAGAAACATGAATTCTCCACACAATACTTTATTATTTCGCTTAAGAACATGATATTCTAGATTCAATACTTTTTGGTACTTCGGAAAAGTAAAATATTTGGTTGAAATAATTACATATTGAGTTCTGCCAAATACTAAATTGTTAATTCAAGAATTCTGTTCAATGCTAATATTTACTTGACACAAGAAAATGAATTTCTCTCTTCAAATAAATATGGGATTAATTGAATATAATTTTTAATCAACTTGAAACAAATATTTACTTACATTAACCTTCGTATTTTCTTGAATCAGGATTATATGAGCGTTGAGTTAAGTAAAAACTTTTTTAAAGGAAACAAAAGAATGATTTAATTCAAGATCTTACACTTAATTGAATTGAATAAATAAAATATTTCATTCCAGAGAATATAACATTCTCGCAAGAAATTAATGATTTTGAAACATGAGAACATAGAAATGCTTCAAGTAAAAGAAATGCTTAGATTAATTAATATTTCTTTGAAACAAAATCATTTTTAATTGAGTTGAAACAATTATTAACTTGTATTAATCTTCCCATTTTCTTGGCTCAAGACTATGGGTGTTGGATGAAATAAATAGTTGCTTTAAAGGAAATAAAAAAATTATTTGACTCAAGATACCAAATGACTCAAGGTAAATTACTTGACGTGAGAACATGATATTCTTGATTCAATACTTTTTCGAGACTTGGCGCATGTAAAACAGTTCGTTTGAAACAGTAAGATATTTACTTATGTCAAACCCATATTTTCTTATTTCAATAACTTTGATCAATGCTCAAAATTACTTGACACAAGAAAATAAATTTCTTCCAATAAGAAAATATGTGTTTGTTTCAAATAAATCAGGTCAAGAAAATGCATTTACTTGATTCAATGAACTTTTTTTTTCAGTGTATTTAAGTTATACGCGAATATATGTGTGTGTTATAGGTTAGTTTATAAGTGTTGACGAACGTCGAAAAGTGATACAATAATTGTTCTTTGTTTGTGTGATTAATTATCCAAATATATCTTATATCCAAATGAATGAGTGAATTTCAGAAAAACTGTGTGAACAAGTGGAAATTATTTTTTTTATTTTACAATTTTTTTGAAAGTCAATGAAATTCTCAAGCAAGGTACTAGAAATTTTCATTGACTGCTTTTGAAACTCTCATGCAAAAGTACTAGACTGTTTTTAGTATTTTGTGTCGTATTCAAAAGTCAAATACCGAGTCAATGAAAATTTCACGTACTTTTTTTTCCGTGTATGCTCTTATTGTCTTTCATTATATCAATTATTACCTCAAAATTTGAAAAGGCAAGACAAATCAAAAATAAGAGTTAGAGTACCAGGAACACCGACAACACGAAATGAAATCAGACTATCAATAAAAAGGCAACAAGTTGTAAAACAAAGACTCACTAGGAAAGAAAAAAAGCTTGAAGAATTACAGAAAGAACTGAGTGAAGTACAAGATCGGTTGAATGTAATGGAAGAATCAATTTTATTATTCGATTAAAAATTTATTTTTACAACTGTTTTGTAATAGATTTGTAGAATAATTGGGGTATGAAGGTTTTTAATTTGATTACTTTTTTATTATATGTATATTTATAAGACTTATATTTTTCTAATTTATTTACAATAAGTTACATCTAATTAAATTAAAGAAATAATTTTTTTAATGCTGTTTATAATCAGCACATCTTTGATAGATTTCGATAATTATTAAATTTCGGTATTTTATAATAATTATTAATAATTATTAAATTGATTCTTACAAATTATATTCGATTAGTATACTTTCAGCTATATTGTACAATAAAAAGAGTCTAATTGAATTATGTAATAATAAACAATTTTACAAACATGATAAATGTTTTCATTAAATTTCCCCTTCTT